CTTTGTCACCCTTGTTAGAGTGCTATGGTGTAATAGCACACAGCAAACTCAAACTCTTGGGCTCAAGTGATCCTCTTGCCTCAGCCTCCCAAGTCCAAGTAGCTGGGACTAATAGGCACTGCCACAACACTTGGCTTTTTTTAGAGGCAAGGTTTCACTCTTGATCAGCCTCCCAGACTGCTAGGATTACAGGCGTGAGCTACCTCGCCTGGCCTTTGTGTTATGTCTTAATTATTGCTGTTTTAACATCTTTAAAGCCTATGAATATTTTTACAAGAATAAGTATAAAACAAAAATTTTGTTTCTTAATGCACTTCTGGGTTTTACAGGAAGACAAGTGGTTGGCACTGTAAACCTATTTAGTGCTCAAATAATAGTTATTTTTTATTGTAATCAATTTGCCATTTAGCCAGAAACTTTATTACTTCTTTTGGTCATGCCATATATAATTATGTGCTTACAGGGACAAATAACCATGTTACAGTGGCAATAGAAAATTGAGTACCACTTGTTCATAACTAACCATTTGAATAAGAGCAAGGTAAGACAGTATAAAGGTAATTTTCTTGAACAAATGCAGTTTCCATATTTCATAATCTCAAAACAACTTGTATTTCAGTTTTTTTCACTCTTTTCAATTATATGAGCAAATTTAGGCAGTATAAGAGAGAATGGAAGATAACATGTGCCAAAATCTTATTTTTCTTACCACTTTTAGCACAGACTTAATAAATATGTATTGGTAAATTAATGAAGAAACTGATAAAAATGATTTCAGGGTGGTGCCTATGACTCAAAGGAGTAGGGCGCTGGCCTCATATACCAGAGGTGGTGGGTTCAAAAACCCAACCATGGCCAAAAACTGCAAAAAAAGAAAAAATGATTTCAGACTGGTATGTGGACAGCTAAACTTAACCTTTTCAATAAATAGTACCTTATTAGTTAAAAAAAAAAGGTGACTTTTGATCCAGAGAAGAGTAACTAAAATTAAAGGCTGAAGAAGACACCACACCTAAGAGGTTCATTGATGGTTTTGTGGTTTGTGAAAGACACAGCCAGAGCACTGCTGTGTAACAAATGACCATGTGGCAGGAGCTCATTTTTCCAAAGGGGTCTCATCTGGAGTATGAACTTAGGGGAGCGTCTGCCTCCTCGTTTGCAGATTTGTCATGAATAATCAAGCCCTTGCAAAGGATCTAGAGCCTGTGTCCAGGGTTACAACCAGAATCTAACACTCAGTTCAAAGTAGGGCACAGGAACTGGGAGTGAGGGTCACATTGGATGAGGTACAGCCTGAAGAGCTTTAGGACCAGCATGTGGGGATTGTGGGCCAGGATGGTGCCACCAAGAGCTAGAACTGTTTACCTAGACAGGTCCTCAATCTACATTTCTTCTGAATGTAGGCAGAATAATGGCTAATAATGGTTGTGGTAGTTGGTAATCCTTAGCTCCAGTCCCCTTAACAGTTGCTGTGAGAACTTTCCTACATCCTGCACCAGTCTTAGAATAGCTATAGGTAGATAAAGTATCTTCTCAAATGGTATCTATGTATTCTACATTGCTTCAGGGGAAAAAAGTCAGGATATCCCTTCATTTACTGCTAATAAAAATCTTTATTACAATAGTATTAAAGAATTCATTTCTTGTCTTACTCATATTAGCAGCTTTATAGTCCATTATATCACTTCCAAGAAACACAGTCAGCAGCATTCTTTCTGATTCCCCCAATCAAGTTTCAACTTGCTCAGCTTATTGGCGTTGGGAGGGCTTCATTTGTTTCTATTTGCATGGATTTTACATTTCTTGATCTTTGGTTATCTCAAAACTTTTATACTGACCCATATACATTAGTCCACAGAAACATTTAATAAATATTTTCAGAAATAAAAAATTATTTTAACCAATAATTCATTCGTTTCTGTTTTTACAGGTGTATAAAAACATAATATTGACTGACATTTTTGATTTCACTTGTAAGAAAATAATCAATGGATTAAAATAATTGAAGTATAACAGAAGATATATTTTTTAAAAAAGGAAGCCTTTGTACACTTCGCTGGATTCACAGAAGCACTACTCCAGAGCAGAACGATGCCTTAATCTTAAATGTCCATTTGTACAACATTGATTTACACCTATAAAGTAACTTAATTTTACTGTGGAAATAATACTTACCTGTTATGAGATACTATAATATGAACTGTCATCACATGTTAACACAGCATATGTATTTTTTTCAATACCTGAGTTACATTATTAGAGTTGTTTCTTAGTATCCATCTAAATTTTCACTCCAAAAACACAAGCTAAAAACTTGTTTTAAGTAAAGTACATCTAGGGCAAATGGTGGCTGAAAGTGAATAATATCCAGATTATTGTTGCTTGTACTGTATAAGGAAAAGAAAATAACCACTTTTTAAAATTGGGTATTTGCTAATTTATAATTACTATTTTATACTTTTCAACATTTTTAATAAAGTTTTTTTATTGTTGGCTATAAAATAACACTCAGAAGGATTCAGATATCAAAATATAATCATTGAGAATGTAGAATGCATTGATATAATTAATTGAAGGCTTAGTTATAAGCTTTAATACAACCATGTAGTATATAGTGTGTGCCCAAGGCTTGAAGGACATATGGTGGTCTAAGAAATAGTTTGACTTCTTTCTGCTTTTTAATAAGATTTTTGTTAAACTTTCAGGGGTATATACATATGGGCAGGGAAACATATTACATGTGCTATAGAAATAGTGGACACAGTAGGAAGTGCTGGGAGTGCCTAGAAGAAAAGCAAAGGGAATAGAGATGTAGGATATTGCATAAGCTGTTAAAAAATATTTTGAGGCTTGGGGCCTGTAGTGCAGCGGTTAGGGTGCCAGCCACATACACCGGGGCTGGTGGGTTAGAACCCAGCCCAGGCCTGCCAAACAACAATGACAACTACAACAACAAAAATAGCCGGGCATTGTGGTGGGTACCTATAGTCCCAGCTACTCGGGAGGCTGAGGCAAAAGAATCACTTAAGCCCAAGAGTTTGAGGTTGCTGTGAGCTGTGATGCCACAGCACTCTACCAAGGGCAATATAGTGAGACTGTGTCTCTAAAAATATATATATATATTTTTTGAGTCCTAAAGGTATTAGAATAAAACATGTTGAGTTGGCTTTCAAATTTTATTTGTTGATGACTAAAAATTACTTTGAAACTTTATAGTAATCTATAACAGCTTAAGCAGTGACTGAAAATACAGTTCAAACTACGCAAAAAACTATTTAATAGAACGTGGCTCTCAGGAAGAAATGCTAATCTGAGTAGTCATTTTAAATTTCCCAGTCTCTGAAAAGTAGATAGAAGGTTCCAGTTTTCAATGCATTATCTTAAATCTGACTTCCTATGTAGTTATAGCAACTCCTTTCTGACAAGACTAATTTCTCCTTTTTTCTTTTAAAATCTAACGTACATGACAGAAATTCTGCATTAATTTTAAAGAAGAGAATAGTAGCCTATAAATAGTGTAGAAATGTTACTCTTCATTTATACTGTTTAATTAGATACACACACACACTGGAATGGTTAATTGCTTCCAGTAGGTAGGCAGAGCTAAATTCTTACCAGCATTTAGATTATAGTCTTCTTATATGTAAAATGGGATTGCATTGGAAGGATATTTTCACTAAGTTGGACTTGATGACTTCTAACATTCTGTGATTCCCAATTTTGCAAAATAACCCTACTTTTCATTCACCCAACAATTTTTTTAGAGTACTTTCTATAGTACTTTCTATAGTCCAGACAATAGACTAGGGATAATCTCTGTCGTTGCCTAATGTAACAAATTTCATATTTGCTTGTGTGGGTTTACAATTTGTAAGATTTATCTAATTTCCACTGGCTATACTAATGCTAGATTTTAAAAGGAAGAAACTTTTTTCCCCTTTGAAACAAAGGAATGAGTTACCTTTGAAAACGCAGTTTAGAGGCGGCACTTGTGGTTCAGTGAGAAGGGGACCGGCCCCATATACTGAGGGTGGCGGGTTTGAAGCTGCCCCCAGCCAACCTGCAATAAGAAAATAGCCAGGCATTGTGACGGGCGCCTGTAGTTGCAGCTACTCAGGAGGCTGAGGCAAGAGAATCACCTAAGCCCAGGAGTTGGAGGTTGCTGTGAGCTGTGATGCCACCGCGCTCTATGGAGGGCAATAAAGCGAGACTCTGTCTCTTAAAAAAAAAAGAAAGAAAGAAAAGAAAACATAGTTTGGAATACTATGGATTCTTTTGCCTTCATTTCAACTTATCTTTAAAATCTTGATTCTGTGAAACTAGAATGAAAGTTAAGATATACCAGTTACCAACCAAAAACGTAACTTCACTTTGACAGTTTGCATATTATAAGAAAATACTAAATGTTTAAACATACTACTTTCAGAAATGTTCTCCTGGTACTTTTTGTGAGTATTTTTACATTTAGATCAAAAGATTTGCATGTGCTGGCTACCAACTGAAGAAACAATTTTCCTGTTTGGGCACTTTTGTGGTATTGAAATCTTTCTCAATTCTTTAATCTCTGTTATTTAACCTCCTCTTTAATAGCATAGTAAAAAACCTTTTCAGAAATTTTCAGTTAAAGCTTTTTAATTAGTTATCTTTGATTTCATTTATGGCCAATATTTTATTAATTTTAATAATTATTTAGCTGAATTCATACACATTAATGACTGTTCAACAAGGACCTACATGTGGTATGTGTACCTGCCAGGAAGGCTGCCTCTTTGGTATTTCAAGTGGTATTGATTATTGCTATCAACTATTTGGGGAGAAAAGATCAAAATGAAAAATGAAACTATCTTTGGTCCTTCAAACACTTGAATATTTATGAAAACACTTAAGGAGAATAAAGTTGAATTTCAGGTCTTGCCGTTGCCATTAAAAACAAATTAGGTAGGAGACCTGGTTTACCTAGGTATAAATTTACTTGAATATTCAGTACATGAGACTATGCCAAACCAAAGAGCAGCTACAGTCTATTAGCTATTAAAATGAACACGTTTACAAAGTTTAGTTTCATCTTTACATAAGGATGATATTTTAAAAACTTTTTACATACTTAGTAGTATGATCCAATGTGTCATAAGTGAGTTTAACCGTCAGGTTTGTTTAAATCAAATATGTAATGTTTACGTGAATTTTATTTCTATTAGAAAGCAGATTTTTGACTTTGTTTATAGGATCGTTCAAAGATTATCAGACGTGAGATCTCCATTCAGTTATCTTTAAGGCAAATGTATATTAAGAGCTTAGGGTTTGGTTCTGCATATTTTGGGCATTGAATAGATAGTAACTTACATGTAAGTTTTGCTTACAAAATTTTGCTAGGGACTAGCACTGCTATCAATGGAAATTCTTTTTAGCTATTCTGTTATTAAGAAATTAATCATATTTTTGCATTTCAGCCAAAATAAAGACCATGTCTAATAATGTTACAGATAATATGTAAATCTGAAATTCATATGTTTCATATGATCTAAACTGTATTTTCCAATTTAACTTAAAAATGTAATATAGATTCAGAAAGGTTCATATTTTTCTAATGACTTCATTCTATATTGTTGGGTTGCATAAAGTGGCAAGGAATTGTATTTGTTAATTAAAGAATAATAATAGATTAAGAAAGTTGTTAGTCCAGTTTGTTATATTTGTACATGATTGCAGATGAGTCTATGCCCACTTAAAAGAAAAGATGGACACTATTTTAAAGTGATCTTTAATACAGTTTTATATAAACATATTTGAAGTATAGTTTACTTTGGTTGTCTTTGCTTAACGAGTACCATCGCCTTGTTATTTGTTCTTATTTGTATCATCCTAAAACATGACTTAATGTTGCTCTTTGCTTTGTCTTTTGGATGGCCTAACCTACGTTAACATGTGCACAGAACATCTTAAAACTTTTTTTTCAAAAATCATAATGAATTACTTTATTAATAAATAAATAAATATAAAGTCTCATATTTGAAGTTTTTTGTTATATAAAGTATTTTTACCGAATGAAAGAATACCTATTTTATCAATTTGAAAACTTGGTAAAATGGCTAGAGAAAAAGATTTGTTAGTAATTTGGGAAACCACCTCTAAGGTAGGTATTATTTCAATGCAACAAAAATTGTAGTTCATTTGAGTTTATTCAAAATCTGTAGTATTTAACTTAGCTTTTACTGAACATAATTTAATTTCAGATATAAGGCACTTTGGCATCTGAGTACCTTTAAGTCACTGTAAGTTGTTGAATTGTGGTTATTAAAATCCTGGGTGAAAGATTTTATCTTGTGTAGAATTCTGTTATGGCATCTATTCCAGTTATTTTCCACAGAGGCAAAGTTTCGATAGTAAGGCTGTTGAATAAATCAAATGGCTTTGGGGTTCAACCATGCTTCTCGGTTTTCAGACTAGGAAATTCTGAAATGAAATATATGTGGGATCAAAGAGGCTAGTAGACAGGAATAAACTGTCCCCTGACCCCCAAACAGTTTTTTGGGATGGGAAGAAGGAATAGTTACTAAACTATTGGCCCAGAGGGCTGTTTTCACACCAAAAGAGTGTAACAGATGATATTACATGGTCCTAATTTATTTTTTCTTTATTTTTCTATTTTTTTTTTTTTGAGACATAATCTCACTTTGTTGCCCTTGGTAGAGTGCTGTGGCCTCATAGCTCACAGCAACCTCAACCTTTTGGGCTCAAGTGATCCTCTTGCCTCAGCCTCCCAAGTATCTGGGACTGCAGGCACCCACCACAACATCCAGCTATTTTTAGAAACAGGGTCTCGCTTTGGCTCAAGCTGGTCTCAAACTCCTGAGCTCAGGCGATCTACCCACCAAGGCCTCCCAGAGTGCTAGAATTACAGGTGTGAGCCACCTCACCTGGCTTCCTAATTTCTTATAGGCTGGCTATTCAGAGCCATTCTGGCAGTGATGAACAATACTGGCCTCTTCTGCTTGTTTTTCTTATTCATATCTCTTAGAATATATAGAGATAGGAACTGACATTTAGTTTTTTTGTGTGTCACAGGTCCTTATGGGTGATTGAACAGTCCTGTGACATTGACTTCGCTGCCTTTGACCCCTCCATATCAGTGCCTTCTACCTGCTAGAGAGGATGTAAGTTATGTTTCTGCTCCATAATTCTCAAGTGCTGTTCTTCACCCGAGGCTGTTTCCTCCATTCATCACAGAAGGTAATTCTTCAAGGATTTCCAACTCTATCCTTCCTTTTGGCCTCTAGGAGCTGGATTAACATCATCTGTGGTTCTAAAGCACTAGACTTTTGTCTGTCATTTCTTTTATTTCCCCATATATGATATACACTTTCAAGTCAACTTACAAGATTATAAATTTTTGATTGTTTATTTTTGGAGTAGCCTCCCACAAAATGAACCCTGAAGGTCAGAAATAAGTATAGCAATGAATTTCATGTCCATTAGACTTTTTCCCCTGGTTTTGCCTAACTTCTCAAACAAAGTGGGCGCCATAACCTATAGTTATCCTAAATTTGGAAAAGATCAGTCAAATTCAGACATTTTGATGATGTCTGTATCAGTGCAGTTTCTGTGGAGATCAGTTGGCAATATCAAGTATTAAAAGGCCCATTTTTTAATGCATCAATTCTAGAAAATATATATACATTTATATATATACACACACACATAGATATATGTATATTTCTTCTTTTTTTGGAGACAGAGTCTCAAGCCTTTGCCCTGGGTAGAGGTGCTGTGGTGTCATAGCTCACAGCAACCTCAAACTTGGGTGCAAGCGATCCTCTTGCCTCAGTTTTTTTAGTTTTAGTAGAGACAGGGTCTTTTGCTCAGGCTGGTCTTGAACTC